AGCAGCACAAATCATCCACTGAAATTCTGATGCATTACAATTCTCGGCATTATTATTATTATTAGTTTTAGTTATTGTTTAGGAATCGTATTAATTATTAAAGTATTTAAGGTAGTTTCTTTAGGATTAAGTTACCGTATCCTTGTAGGATTGGTAAGTGATTAGGTTTTCCGGTTCTCCTATAAATATGTACTCGGTTTCTACGTTTTAAGAAGTCAATGAAGAAGAAAACCCCTAATTTATTTGTTTTAGTTTATTTATCGTTTTTTGTGCTGCGATGCTTGATCCGTCAATGCATCAAATTCTAATGTTGGTTTTCGTTTACAAGAAAAGTGAATCCGCGTTCGTGTTAGTACTTTTATCGATAACCAAATCATGGCATGCCTTTTCTAATAATCCTTTTGCCATATATGAAGTATGGACATTGAATTGCGGTTACGCTGGAACACCCTTATCACAGAGAACCATATCGGCTTCATCATTGGGATAGGCTAGATCTGCCCAAGATGCACTTACTAGTTACTACTAGAAGTCTAGCATTTGAGGTTTTCACATGCCATGAGCTTATCGGCTGACCTTAGAGCCAACTGCCATGAGAGACTAGAATCAATACCCACGGCTACGTCGCGGGGAGTATATTGCAATTGCAGATTCAATTGTGTTTAGTATATTTTAAAACAGTATAACCATAACAAAAGAAAAGAAAAGGTTAGATATCATATATAAAGAATACTAAACTTGAGGGCGGCCAAGCCTCACAAAGTCACAATAGCAAAATGGCATGAAGGATCATCTTCAGCCATCTCTCTTCTGTATAGTTTCACCTTATTGAGAGTTCACAGTTGTCATGAAAGCAAATTAAATTAGCTTAACCCTCATATCCTTATGCTATCTGCGGCTTCTTCGAACTGAAGTAGAGAGCAAATTATTGTTCAAGGCATCTACTTGCTTACTGCTCAATTTTCAGCCAAGGCAAGTGAGTTGTTCCTTTGCAAATCTTGTACTGTCATTGCAGGAAGGAATGAGTTTCATTATATTACTAATGTGGTTAACAAAGTAAGCTGAAGTTCAAATGGAAGTGTGTTGATAATGCGAGAGACATATCTATGCTATTTTGGTTCTATTTCCGCAACTGAAGTCCACAATAATTAGTCCAAACAATATTACGTTTTGCAAGTTCATAACAAACCATTATCATAAACCAAATAGTAATCAATCCTTCATTTTCATAAGTAAACTCCTCAATTGGCACATCCTTTACAACCTGCAGACTTACAGACAAATTAAGTCAATATAAGGGCTCTGGAACCTGTAACAACATGATGGGAGCATGAAAAGAATGCACCAATCTACTGAAACCATTCTGCTGCCAATCAATCTAACAAATATACACCTGGATATTCAAAACGATTTCTTCGCTCCTACACAATTGTATGGAACCCGAAATGTTATAGGCTATCTACTTTACCTTTTTTTCTAAACAATTTCTATGTGACTCAAGTCAATCTCTAACAATATCCAATTTGTAGGTTAATGCTTCAATCTCCAATTCCTCTACTCAAGAGAGAAGCATGAGCTTAAGGGAAGATTTCAATTTCTAAAAACTCATCTTGACTCGAAATCAGGATTTTGTGATGACGATGTAGCTGCTTTCAAAGACAAATGAGTTCACTTCAATTAAGTGTCCCAGCTAAAAATCAGACCTCAAGATTTTGACTGAAAGAATTAGGAATGTCAAATTGGAGAAAGCAATAACCAGATTGGATGATTATCTGGAGAAGAAAGCAAAGAACTTAACTGCCCATCCAGAGCACAAAATTAAAAATTAAGAATGTGATCAGATCCAAGAATAGCAGAAACAATTTCTGATAAGGCACACAATAGAGATCAAACAACAAACAAAAAGGTGAAAAGTAGGAGACGAAGCACACATTATACTCAATGTTATATCTAGAAACACTATTCTTTTTCATCTATACGACTTTCTTAATGGGGATTAATTAGAAGCAAAAGCGGAGAAACAGAATGATTAATAAGCAAGTATTCTGACATTTCATGGCCTTGATAAACACCTAGCAAATGAGATAGTCACACTCACATTCTTGAAGTGAATTTGATGAACCTCCCTTCAAAAACAGTGACTCACGCAGCCCGAGAATTCGAACCCAAAACTAAACTATGTTTCTTAAGTCCCATTTTATAGAGAATGCCTTAATCAACCAAAAATGCAGTAAATTTGAGAGTCCTACACTGAAACAGGAAATTCACATTCTCCAAACCACTATTGAAAGCATTCAGCCTACCAATCTCATGAACACATATGTGGTAGGCATGTAACCGAGGACTTCAACCTCAAACCACTCATCCAATCCCTGCAGATGAAATAAGGAGAAAAAAAACACAAACTCCAAGGTCAAATAGTAATCAAAATTTAGCAGAAACAAACAGAACATAGTCCATTAGAGTAGCGACTGATTCCGAGCGAGATCACAGATTCAAAACTCCAAAATTATGCTTCTTTCCTTCTTCTACATTTCATTTAATCCATTCTAGAAAAACAGAAACAACAACAAAAACGGTGATAGGAGAAGGAACTACCAGAAAATTTAAGCTCAAGCAAGGAGCAAGAGTGTTGGCTGCTTGCGGGTCTTTCTCCTTCTTTACCAAGTCTTCTGCTTCACCGCTTCCTCCTTCCAACATTTGTAATACCTCTCTCACTGGAAGTCGCTCAGTCCTGATCTTATCCATGTTCCACCACGGTTTTATCCATGTTCCACCACAGTTGTGAACTATTCAAGTGACCGAGGAACTCTTAGGAGAAAATCAAGGCAGTGCAGCGACAACTGGAGATACCAAAAGCAAAACCTACCGAATGATCTTTTCATGATGTGTCTCATGAGCATAAGCAAGCAACTCATTTGCCTTCCCACTTGCAGTACCAACCATAACAAAAAAGAACAATAAGGGACAATAAGCAAACACTTGACCTGAGATCACATCCAAAACTACAGGTATAGATAATCAATAACAAACTTCGAGTATGCAAGAACGGTAAAGACCATATGAAAGAAAGACTTGGAACAGATCTCATCACCTGCGGAAAGACTTGGAGCATATCTCTTCTTCTCAGCTGTTACCTCAGTTCTGAGCTTCAGCCATTGGTTTTAAGTCGCTGCTTATCATGATCGGGTTTTTGTTGCAACATTTGTTTTGCTTGCCCGTCGATCTGCACTCCTAATTCCCAATCCAACATCCGTTGTAAAATTTCTCAACCCACTACCATTCTTCTAAGCACCCATCCATTTGCCCTCCTGATTCCAAGTCCACTATCCGCCATAAACCTTCTCCGCCCACCACCGTAGTCGCCGCCGGGAAACTTTAATTTTCAAGTCCCTCAACAATATGCAGATCAATTCTCGCTTAGAATTTCCACCAACACCATTTGTACATCCTCATAGCGCTCAAGCACATGCCTCTCCAAGAAATCCAAATCAAGCACACTTCCTACTTGACTTCGCCTTTTTTCATCCCAGCCACACAGAGAGTAATTTCAGGCCATGTAATCAGAGTATCAGACACATCATCCTCCCATCATCTTCCAGATTGCTAAAACTTGGTGGCACCAACGTTCGAGGCGTGAGAAGGCCGGATTGATAATTTCAAAGCAAGCTGTAATAGGGAAGAAGATGAAGAGTATAGAAGCGGCGACCTCGTAACCAGAGGATATCTTGGGAAGTTGCAAACAAACCTCTAATCGGCGATCGTCTCCATGAATGGAGATAGCGTCGACCTCAACGGAGCCCCTCGCCAATGATGAGAGATATTTCTTCTTCCCTTTTTTTCTTCGTCGACTGAGAGAGAGGGAGGTAGACGGAGATTTCTTCTCTAAAGCTTTACTTGTACATTGTGCTGAAGAAGAGGACGAAAGCCTGAAATCATGGAAGACATCGCTTTTTCCAATGCACAGTGAAGTTGCTAGTAGTGCCATACAATGCATGGTTGGTGGCGTGTCTAAGCAGCTGTGCACAGGTGGTATGGGCGGTGGCGTACGCCAGGAGCTGCGAAGAGGAGGTAAGGTGGAGGAGAAGCACAGTACTGGAGCGGTTAGAGGAGAAAAGCATTGTAGGGGAAAAGTTTCCTGGGCAGCTCCATTTTGCGGGAAACCCTTTGAGGCGCGGCACAAAACGACGAAAAGTGAAACAGTAATGAATTTTTTGGGTGAAAAAGCGTACCCACATTTCATATATAAAAGAATGAGAGATGAGTCCCATCATTGCAACACAAACAAGTATCAACGAAAGTCTTAAGAAAGCGTGAGTTGATGCATTTGAGAGCCTCGTAAGAGTATCCTCGTAACAAGTATCAAACTCAAGGCCTTTCGAAACACGAAATTGGAACAAGTAGAAGTTGTCAACATGAGATGTAACAATATCCCCGAAACCAACTCCTGACTTATAGACTCTTGTTGCAATGAACATGGTATTAAAACATGTATGTTTGCTTGTGAGTTGGTATGGAACTCTAAGTATGAATCCCCAATGCAATAGGATTCTTGTGTTCAACACTGAAGTTGATAAATTGACAAATCAATTAGTTCATTGTCATGTGTTACATACTTTCGACATTATTGATGGCGATAGTGAAACATAACAAGAAGTTATTTGACCTCACTAGCACCGTGATCTAGTTGCATTTGATATTGAATACACCTCCTGAATGAGGTCCTCCAAGACACCTTTTATATTGGTCACAATCACGAATGGACTCGATTTGTTACACAATTCCCGAATTTCAAATAGAATGCATCACATAAGAACGATTATATACTCCCCTCGTGACCTCATCAATAGCAATGTCATACTGAAGTTATACACCTAAACTTCCCGACTGAAGTTTTGCTGCTAGCTTATTTTTTCCAAATACCTGATACGTGTGTTCCCTAAGTGATGAATACAAAAGGGATAATAATAGCATATACTTTTCAACACTTCCACCTTTCCCAGTATGTACTGGCTGTATTCCATCATTAACTACCATAATGTCCGAAAGGTTGTTAACATCTGTACTTACTAACTTTTCTAACCCTAATACCCCCAGCCTTTTGACTGCTTTAATGCCACACTGTGTTTGAGGCTGTGGCCTGTGAGCTAAGTGTTCCAGCTAACAAGTGAGATTTCCAAAATGTTCCCATGTGCTTGCGCAGTTGCGCTAGTGAGAAATTGAACATTGGGATTCACATGTCACCAGTCTTCCAATGCTACAGACAGCACATAGCAGCACAACAAAGCAACATAATTTCACATCTATGGTGTACATGGGAAACAAGCAACAGCATGTCAAAAGCATAATAGCCGTTTCCTTCCCTGCACCAACTTCATGTCCATCCATTCAACTCAAACTCGCAACCAGATTCAACCATAAAGCACGGTAGACAAGTGATAGCAGCTTCTCTATGACAGAGACCATGCATTGCAGTATTGAACTGATATTCCCACGTTCCACCATGAATGTATACATACAACAAGAACTTATATATCATTGATAGCTTCCAAGAACAAATTGGATCGAATTCGAGCTCACGTAACAAGGTTACGAGATCGCATTCCCTTCCTAATCATCACTACAAGCATCAACAAACTAACCCAAAAAAACCCAGATTGGATTTTCCTCTCCTTTTTGCTGTGCTGTCAAAGGACTTGCCTGTCGGCAGCATCGGCAACAATGGGCAATCTGGGGAGCTGCCCCAGGAAACACGAACTGGACCCATAAATCAAGCTAACCAAAAGGAACAAGAACACAGTGCTATCCAGGCTCATCACCAAATCCAGACCCAACCCTTCCCTGGGATTGAAAGTCCTCTCCAACAAATCAGGGAAAATCAAGAGCACATCCAGCACAATCGCCTGCATCGTGTTGAACCTCACGTACCTACTGAAGTTGGAATTCCTGACCACTACGAAGTAGAGGGTGAGAAACACCAGGAAGCCGTTGAGCGGGAAGCCCTTGAAGACCTTAATCGCCGGTACCAGCGGCTGGATGAGGGTTTGGATGGGTGCGAACTGGGTGATTACGAACTTCCCGTACTGGATCCCGTCGAAGAACGGGTAGAAGTAGACGAGGGCGGAGATTATCCTGTCCCCGGCGTCGACGGAGTCGCTACTCCCGTTGGATTTGGCGGTGACGGTTAGCCGCGTGGTGGAGGCGGCGTTCAGGTTCCGGGACCGTCGGGAGACGAGCGACGGTGTTCGGAGAGAGAAATGGAGGAGGGGATATTTGGCCGAGAGGGAAACCGGAGGTATCGACGGAGAGAGGCGGAGTGCGGACATGGCTGTGGATGGTCTCGGTGAGATTTGTTTTCCTCTCACCGTTTCCACCGAAAGCAAAGGAAATGGTGAAATGGTGATTTTTCTTCAGGCGATAGTGAGGAAAGGAGGAGACGTGTTCCCCGGTCCAGCACGCAAAACGGTAAGGGGGACGTGTCCAAACGACGTCGTATGGCTATTTTCTTCCCCCTCTAGCCAGTTACAGGTTTGTGCTGGTTTCACTAAATTCACCATCTAAGCTATCTACCCTTGTTGGCTAAAATGAAAATCCCTCTCACTAGTGGTTCCGCTCTCGAGAATATTTAACAAAATTATCGCATTCAACAATACGAAAAATGATAACCGTGAATAAAGTTAGGACATTCTAAAGCATCAGGCAGTAAAACCGTAGCCAGATCGATATGAACCTGGCTACGGTCCTAACCAGTGTGACATAGTAACTCATCTTTTGCCAATGACTACTTCCACTCCTAGTTGAAATATCAACAAACATCAAACCAACCTCTTCATCAAGTCATGACCGGTCGGAGAAACGATGGTCGAAAATTATGCATTTCTCAGTCCATCTGCCTCTAAACATTGCAGCAAAGCTTATGTAAAAGGCAACAAGAAAAGAATGGTGGCAAGACCAGCTTCAATATTCCCTCAGCTGGTGTGGATGGATACCTGAAACTGAAAAAGGAAGGCAAAGCAGCATTGCTACTACCTCTTTGTCATGAGTCATTTGCAGAGTTGTTCGTTCTAGGTCAATATTCAAGTCTGCTAGATCCTAACACTTGACTGACAAACATGACATTAGTTAGGTAAGCTCCAGATGCGAGCGTATGAAGAAGGCGGTGGCCTGTGATGATACTATCATTCGTTAAGAAGTTCATCAGAAAACAGAGATCATGTCATTCACTGAGGCTGGACACAGGGATTTCATCTGCAATGACTCTGAATTCGTCATTAACAACCTCCCCCGCTCTCATATAAAAAATTAGATGGGAGGAGATGCAGTAATTTTCCTTCTTTTTACAGTAGAGTACAATTAATGGTTAGAATGTACTCGAGGAGTTCAATAATCTGAACTCATCTTTCTAACAAAGGGAACAAAATTATTCCAGTTTTCTACTGAGAAGATCTTTTCGTTCATTCTGAAATAAGTAAATGACCTTACAGCTTCTGCCTGCGGGTGATTACAGTTCGCCAGTATTTGCCTTAATCCCGTCTGCGAGAAAATGGCATGCATATTCATTGTATCAAGAAAAATGCATCAGAAAAGAGCAATCAGGAAAATAAAAGAATAAAAGGAGACCCAGTGACTCCTCCCTGGATCAGAAATCATACAGGTGAACATGAACAGGCAATGCTACTAAACCAAACGTCATTTACCTTATCCAACCGTTCATTAGCATTTCTTCCAATCAAATGTATTCTTTTGTTTGAAATTTTGCATATCTGTATCAGTGAAAAATCAACTCAGGAGAAGGCAAAATAATGTGGCAGCTGCTGAAACAATATGACCACATGAACTCTGATCAGCAACTAGGGGTCAAGAAACTGGCTACCTAAAACGCTAAACTGAATCCACAGAAAATTAGATATGCCCGTTAAGAAAAGATGCCAAAACCTGTTGGAGTAAGCCTTCAGGGCTGCAAAGATAAGATGGTGGGGTCTCGCTGTCCATCATCTCTAGACAGCTGCTAGTAAATTACAAGACGAATGAGCATGTGCAAAGCAAGTCATATGATGAAGAGGGTACATCAAAAACTGTATAAACAGAGCTATGTGGAATTGATACTTCAATGGTGATATACTTGACAGCGTAAATTCCAGTGGAAAAATAATATAAGCAGAAGGCAAGTATCAGAGTCTTACGGAATATGCAAAGCAGCACCATGACGGGACAGCATTGATGCAAGGGGATCATAACCATCCCTGAGAGCAGTGTTGTAGTAACCAGCTGTAAGTTCAGCCGGATGTGAAATAGTCTGGTACCACCAGTATATTCCACCAATTTTAGCCACCAACAGAACCGAGGTTTCTACAGTTTGCTGGTACTTCTTCAATGCATTAGCTGCCATAGCCAGAATAGCATCTGCATGACAGATTAGCTTGCCACTGTACCATTCCTACAAAGAGCAATACATGAATGAGATTCTCGCCATCCTATATGGTCCTAAGAGTAGTTAACAGAGACTAAATCCAAATAAACTTTAATTACATTATTCATGTAGCACTATAAATTGCACATTAGATTCAATGTCCCTAACTCAGAAACGTCAGCTATAAGTCACGAGTCACGATTTCTACAAGCTTACTGATTGATGATAAACGAATTGTCCTATCACATCTGTTGTGAAACAAGTACCTCTTCTCTATCTCATAGAACATGCAGCTGTTTCATTTACAGTTTTTGAACTTGCTTGGTTATGACTTATGTAACCTATGCTACATCCAAATTATTGTAAAATAGGATTCTGGACAGCCATTCGGCCAGATGCTAATGAAAGAACCAGTTATTGAAAAACAACTGTCATCCCCAAGCACGTAAATCTTGAACCATGACACAGAATGATCCAGATGTTTACATGAATATAGGGGCAAAACCCTCTATCAGAATTTAAACCTTAACCAAGTAATTCAAAAACACGTACAAGGAAGAAGCGCCCATAATCCGATATAAAGCTCTCTTGTCCATCTTCAAAAAAAGGTACCCCTGGTGGAAGGCTATTGTAACAACCAGCATTCTGAGGTCCCCGATCTCCCCATTCAGGCTTTCCCACCTGACATGCAGCGATCCTCAAGTCCTCCATCCTGAAAGGTAAGCAGACATGTAAACATTGGATTTCTAATGAACAGGACAAGTTCAAGACTTAACTTACATATATTTGTCATAACATTGAAATTCACCGATTCCAGGAAATTGCCATCTTCCGTCACCCAGAGGATGTGCTGGATACCTGCATGTACTTCTTCATGAGTAAATGTTCTAGAACTGCATCACTTTTTGTCATTCATTAGCAGCTTTGAAGTACCTGAGCTCCCCAGAGGGACCAAGACCAACACTTATTTCTTCAATTATACTCCCAATATAAGGTTCGAATTTGTTAGCGAAATTGACAATGAAGTCCTCGTAACATTGGAGAGCAGTCCGTCCATTAAATAGAGGTAGTCTGTCCACTCCTAGTGTGAGATAATCAGCATTGGACAGACCACTTTTGTCTTGGTAATATATATCCTTGTTGCTTTTACCAATCTATGAAAATGAGAAGGTATAAGTCCAGGAATCGTATTGCTTTTGGTACATGTCCAGCATGCAAGTGCTTAATAAAACAACTGAAAATATGGCAAATGGCAGAACAATATCACCCTGGGGGCATAAAGGAAAAAATGTAAAATATCCTATATAGGCATTCAATATGCTGCATGAAAAACATACTCCTAGACAAGGAGATAGTTAAGATAATCAAAATATTTATGAATGAAACACTTTTCTCTGGCTAGGATATAAAATATAATAAAGAAAAAGCAATCAAACTGGGGCACCAGTGTACCTTAAAACATAGTTGAAAGAAAGGGTACCTCTGCAATCCACAGTGGAAGACTCACACCCCACTTTCTATGCTGATGTACATTTGAATGAAAATACAAAGCAACATGCAACTTCAGCCCTGATTCCGAAATCAGTCTGAAAAGATCTTCATAAAGGCGCCAATTATATTCAAGAGGAGCAAAACGCTCCACAATTCCCCACCAAACCTCTACCGCAATTCCATGGACACCAGCCAGCTTGAGTGCTTTCAGAGATACAGTTAATGCCTTGAGTCTGAAACCAAGAAAAGTCAAGCAGGGGGTGTCACTCCAATTCACCACCAAAGAGGAACACAAGAGCAAAGTAATGAAACAGAGAAATGAGCATCACCACCCAAACTTTCATAACATGATACAGTAAAATCTGCCTAGAGAATTGAGTATCACTACCCATTCTGTCAAAATGTCATTATCAGGGAATTCACAGCCATGTCAATCGAAAGGCAGAAAAGATCTCTTACTGTGCATTACACAGTGGGAAGTAAAAACAACTTCAATTGCATAACTAAATTCCAGTCAAGCTCACCTTTTGATCCTTAGACTGCCAGACGCATCAGCACCAAATGTGTCTATGGGCATTACAACGAATACTGGTACCCTCTTGTGCTTTGATGATTCAAGTACAGTAGAAGTTGATTTCTCTCGAGCGTCCATGCTGAGAAGGAGAGCATTAAGATATCAAAGTTGAACCATAGCTGAATTGAATTGACATTTCAACAGCTGTGGAACCATAGCTGAATTAAAGATCACAACTGAGTGTGAAGACTAGGCTTGGTTTCGAAGGATTATTCTAACACATGCTTGTTGACCTAATCCACCTCTCCTTCTGAGGTGCATGAAATTGAATGCTTGAGCTCAGCAGACAAGCGGCTCAAGCACTGATAGGTTAACGATCGTAACCAACGAATTGATTAACTTGTCCGCAAGGAATTTCATTCTCACAAACTACAACTCCAGTCATGGAAATTTGTCTATCCTACCAAGGAATGTGTTTTCCAGGAGGGATAAATTGAAAGCAATGCCCTAGGCTATCAGTGAAATGCTAAAAAATTTGTTCATAGCTGAAGGAAAATTATCAGGAAGGATAGAGGAACTTCTTCTACTTGGTTATTTTCCAGGCAGGGAACCTAACACGAAGCGAGCGAGCGAGAAGTGCGAGACGGAGAGCTGACCTCAGAATGCGGTAGCTGACGCCCAGCGATCGCCAGCGCGTGCCGAAGAGGTGCTTCTTGAAAGGAGGAATCATCGAAACGTTTCGGAAATTGTTCCGGGTCCTTCGCCTGTCGATGAAACTCAGCTCCTTGTAAACGCAGCACCTCCTGCTGGCTAGCCTGTGCGCAATTCCTCCTCCGCACTCCGCCATTTTTGTTGTCTCCTTCCTCCAATGGAAACGGAAGATCTCTCCTCGCTCTCTCTGCAGATGAAGCTACAGAGAGGGGGAGGAATAACGGGGAAATGGGTAATGAAAGAGGGAAGAACTGGCTCGTCCAACGAAATGGACTAACCGTTTATAAGAAAAAAAACAACTATATATTTTTTATTTTTCTGGAAATGTCCATTTTTGTGTGGCAATTCTTGGAGCTCCTTTCCTGCACGTATTTATTTAATCACTGGGAAAAGATGTCTTGCGGTCAGGCACGAATTTATTTATTTCTTCGTTGATATTTGTTTCATGTGTAATTTAGGCATGTGTGTTAAAACTTTAAGTCACTGTATTTGAGTTTACTAGGTAATAGAGACTTTTTGTCAATTGGTTGAGATTTTGTTAGAGATTTTTGTTATTCCAAACACATAATGATCGATTTTGTTAGAGATTACATCAAATAAATTATGCATGTGATCCCTAATTAAAATATGAGATTTCCCCCTCAATAAGCTCAATTTATTGGATGCATACATACTAGTGGGTTGTTTGGATGGGGATTTAGTTATGAGGAAGTTGTAAGCAAATTTTGACTCAATTTTTTGATGAATCGATAGGTTTCATTTCATCAAAAAGTAGTGCTAACAACCACCTTGTTAGCTAGGTAATGTTGCAATATATAGGCACTAAGTACAAACACTAATTACAAACTGTATAACCTCTGAGACAGATCTCCTACCCTATCCCCAAAATTGAGCAACCCTGTGACTCCCCAGAAAGCACTCCACTTCACTCTTGATCAGCTTCAGCAGCAAATTAGTAGTCAGTGCCTTACCAGCATGCAAGCGACGACATCTCTCTCTCCAAATGTTGCTAACCCAGCTTTGCCAAACAATTCTGCCTACTTCCGCCAACTCAGTTTGTGCCTTAAACTTCGAAGCAGCCCAATCTACCTCCTCATTCCAGCTCTGCACATTTGGAATGTGCAGTACCCTTCCAAAAAGTGAAACATGAATCTGCCTAGAAACAATACAGTGAACAAATATATGATCCCTGTCCTCAGTCCCAGAATCACAAAGACAGCACCTCATATCCCCTGCATATCCCCAGCCCTGCATTTTAGCTTTTGTATTGATACTATTTCTCAAGACCAGCCAAGTAAGGATTCGATTTTTGGGAATCCCCTTGCCTTTCCAAAGAATCTTCCACCAGCTAACAGCACTTCCAGCATGCCTAAGCAAATTCCAGACTCTCTTAATAGAAAACTTTGGCATAGGAGAACTGTCCATCATGATTTCCTCACCTCGAAATGAGATGAAAAGACCCACCTTATATCTAAGATTTAACAACTTTTTCCAGTTCCATGAACCAGAAGAGCAAGTGTATGTCCAGAAATTCCTCCCTTTCAGCTTGTATCTATTGACCCATGCTGCCCAAATAGAGCCCTCATGCATCAAAATCAAAAAAATATGCCTCGTCATACAAGCCTGGTTCCAACTAGATAGTTCCCTGAAGCCCAACCCCCCTTCCTTTTTAGGGAGAGTGAGATACTTCCAGGTCACATTGGCTCGTAGTTTCACTCCTATTTCCACACCCCACACAAAATCACTGCATATTTTCTCCACTGCCCTGATGACAGATTTTGGGAGTAGAAAGACAGACATCCAGAACTGTGTCAAGCTATAAAGAACAAAGCCAACCAGCTCAATACGCCCTGCATAAGTGAGGGATTTTGCTTTCCAGCTTCTCACCCTGGCCACCATTTTATCAATCAATGGCTTGCAAGCTGCTAAACTGAGTTTCCCCGAGATAAGGGGGACCCCCAAATAACGAACAGGGAAATATCCCAACTGGTATCCAAATCTCTCAGCTCTAACCTTACTTTCCTCTTTGTCAATCCCCCCAAAATATATCTCACACTTACTTGGATTTGACTTAAGACCAGAAAGTTGCTTAAACTTAGCCAACACAGTCTGCAGTTCTTGAATACTAGAGTTTGAAGCATCCGAGAAAACCAATAAATCGTCAGCAAAACATAAATGTGTAAGAGTCACTCCTTTACACATAGGATGATAAGGAAATCTTCTTTCAGCAACACACTTATCAAGAAGACAAGAAAAAACTTCCATAGCTATTGAAAAGAGATATGGAGATAGTGGATCTCCTTGTCTAAACCCTTTCTTGGCTGGAAAGTAAACCACTAACCCCCATTAAAGCAAACACTAAGCATGGGAGTTGCCACACACATCTGTATCCAGTTCACAAACCTTTCAGGAACATTCATACACCTCAGTACTTGAAAAATAAACCTCCAGCCCACTGAGTCAAAAGCCTTCATCAAGTCAATTTTTATAGCACATCTAGGAGAAACATTCTGATGAGAATACTTGCTAACTAGCTCGTGAGCTAACAATATATTCTCACCAATCAATCTTCCTTTCACAAATGCAGTCTGGTTTTTACTAATCAGTGAGGGAAGAAGAGGACTGAATCTGTTTGCAATAAGTTTTGAGATGCATTTATAAAGAATACTGCAACATGAGATTGGCCGAAAGCTTTTCATTTCATCAGGGTTTGCAACTTTTGGAATCAGTGCTAAAACTGTTGCATTAATAGGTCTAGGAATTCTATCTTGCTCAAAATAGTACCTGATAGTTGAACAAACCTCTGGACCAATTAGAGGCCAGGCATAATGGAAGAAAGCTGCTGAGAAACCATCTGGACCTGGACTTTTATCACCATCCATCGCAAAAATCACTTCCTTAATTTGATCATCCGAAAAAGGTTCACAAAGACCACATGTCTGCTCCTCAGATAACTTCCTTCTCAACAATGTTGTATAGTATTCATCAGAATGAACAACTACCTCTGGATCTTCAACCCCCAACAACCTTTTGTAAAAACGTACTGCTATCTGAGCCATCTCCTCAACTTCTGTGATTTTTTCCCCATCTTCGTTCTTAAGAAATCTGATAGTATTTCTCTTCTTCTTTACTCTGAATGCTCGATGGAAAAATGCTGAATTCATATCTCCTGTCATGAGCCAATTCTCTCGGGACTTTTGCTTATAAAAAGTTTCGTCAGCGTCCATCATAATTTTCAGCTCCAAACTCAGTTTTCTCTCTGCTTCAAACAAATCTGCAGTTGGTGTGGCTAGAGCTTGCTGCTGGATAGCAATAACCTCCCTTTCCTTTTCTTTTACTCTTTCAGATAGATTTGAATACTCTTCACGATTCAGCTTCCTCAACATATTCTTTAGGTTCTTCAACTTCTGACTCACTCTAATCAGAGGATGCCCAGTAACATTGCTTCTCCAAGCCTCCTCCAGCAACTCGTCAAACTTAGGATGTTGAATCCAGAATTTAAAAAACTTAAATGGCTTTGGAATCGACTTCAATTCAGCTTTAGTATCGATATACATGGGACAGGTTCCTATATATTTATAGATGTGGGGTTTCCATTAGAATTTTCAAAATACAATTTTGCCTTTTCCTTTTTATTGCAATTCCTAGTCTCTAGTTCATCTCAACGATCTGAGTTTGTGTTTTCCTATCAGAGTTCATCTCGACAATGGCCGCTTCTGAATCATGGATGCAAAAGTACACACACGATGGGGGCTCTTGATTCAAGGGAAGACAGACACCGACAAGAGACGAGAGATCTGGCACTGAATTCCTAGGTTCTCTCTTCACAATCACATATTTACCATTGGTCGGATGCTGGTTTTGGTGATGTTGATGATTTCGCATTGGTGATAGCTAGAAGGGGTAATGTTTGGAAGAAAAAAGAAATTAGTGAGAGATTTCGAAATAACTGAAGGGAATAAAATATTTTGAAATCTGATTCGGGCTCAAATGCACACATTTTACCCCTCATTTCTTATTCGTTTAGCTTAGTATTTCATCATTCCTTGACATATTTCACGCTAGGTTGTGCTTGTTTTGATACATTTCGGGTCCTAGGACGTGTGGAAGGGTCGAGGACGAGTTTTGAGATATTTGGAGGTCAAAAAGCGCAAAAAACCAAAGAAAAGTCCGAAGACTGTGACAATTGCCTCGCAGTAGTGAAGTGAAGGCTTCCCAGAAAACAACCGCAGTTCACGGCCGGACAAGGCAGTTCACTGTGTCTTGAGACCGTGAACATGGACCACGAACCGTGAACACCAAGCAATCCAGTGAGGTTCGTGAAATTACTGACGACAAGGCAGTTCACGGTCTCTAAGACCGTGAACTGGGGCCATTGACCGTGAACCCAGGCGAGTGAAGCGGCGCGTTTTGGACGACGCTGAGTTCATGGACGCGTTTAGGAGTTCACGGCCGTGAACTGGCCAACGCGTCCGTGAACTGATCGCTTTCGGGCAAATATGAAGACAACAGCGGGGAGAGAGAAAGGAGAGCTAGTTTTTGGAGAAGAAACACTTTCTTTCTCTAGGGTTTCAACCTAAACACCAAAGGGGAGTTCTAGTGTGAGAGAGAGAGAGTGCTAGAGTGATCTTGGAGCATCATTGGAGGCTTGGGTGGAAGATTCAAGCCTAGAAGAAGAAGAAGAAGATCTTGAGCTCAAAGTTGTAATCCCTCTCTCTCTCTAGAAACTCACTCTTTTCTCTTGGATGTTGTAGATCCCTAACTAATGCTTTGTAATTACTTGTTTAGATTGAATGATTAAGTGTGGGTTTGCATCAATTTGAGTATTAGAGGTGCTTTCATGGTGATTGTGCATGCTCGTGTTTAGCAACCTATGAGTTGTGCATAATTGTGCTTAGCACCCTTAAGTTTGTGCATGTAGGTGCTAGCAATCTAATTAGCCACCTTAGCCTAGCTTAGAGAGAAAAATCCCCCTTCCGAGGGAGACTTAATCGAGTTGGTTTTTCTTCCGCTTTCTAAACCACCTTAACTAGGTTAAGTTAGGGCACCCTCAATCTTGAGTTAAGCAAATCGGTTAATCGCGATTAAGTCGTCCGACCTTAGAGCTGAGTGAGGGAGTAAGTCGATTACCGATTATCTAAACCGATAGGGTCAAGTGACACGGCCTTTCATGCTTACCTCGTTTTAGCAATTGAGACTGTGGTCTCCGACCATATATGCTTTCCTTTGCGGTTCACGGTTACCAGTTTGCATCTAGGTTGGTTGTGATTAAGCCGCTCAAACTCTGGTTTGAGGGAGAGACCTAGGCAACCACTAGTGACCGAGCGAGAGGATCGATCCCGTGACAAATCGACCTCCAGTGAATTGATAGACGTTTAAATTATTTGGGGTTTATGTCGGTTTGAATTATTTAGTTCGGGTTTATTTTGGTTATTGGGAAATAATTGGGGGATTACTAAGTTGGGGTAGTTAGTAGGTAATTATGTTTTGGGTATTCAAACTATTGTTTACGTAGGTAAAGGCAAGCAAAGATTAAACCTAAATCCTAATTGCACTCTCTCTCTCTCTTCTCCTCTCTAGGCTGCCGAGCCCTCCTCTCTTCCCCTCCAAGCTGCTGATCGGCAACAGCCTCCTCCCTCCCCTTTTCTAATTCCAATCCCCCAAATTCACTCTTCTTCCCTTCCCCAAATTCCCGGATCAATCCCTAGTTGATCCCTAATCCCCAATCTCCCGATAGAGCTTAATCCGAAGCTCTATCATTTGGTATCAGAGCCTGGTTCTTGGGTTTCTGAACAAACGAAGAACGACATGTGCAATGGTGTCCACAAAATCGATTCAAGCCGTAGAGAAAGCTGCCAAGGCGGCGGCGCAGGAGCAAGCCGTGATCACGGCCTCGACGGGGCTGCCGGAGGCTAGCGAGGGCGGTCATGGGGTCCCCAATCCGCGGGAAGGAGAGCTGGAAGACGAGACGGGGAAGCTGGAGGCAATCCAAGTCACCTTGGATCGCCTGGTGACCGCGTTCGAAAAGGTGCGCGAGGAGAGGCGGGCTGTCCGGCGCGAGCAAGGAGAACAACGGCGCGAGCTGGAGGAGGAGTCGCAGAGAGTTTGGAAGCGGTTTGATGAGGTGAAGGTGGTCTTGGAGGCGCTGCACGCCGCGCAAACAACTGCGCAGAAGAACAGCGGCGGCGGCGGTGCAGGGGACAGCAGCAGGAGCGTGGCGGGCGAGCCGCCGGCGGGCGCCGCGTTCGCGGAGGACGGCGCGCGGAAGGGCGCGGGGCTTGTGGCGGACGAGTCGCCGGCGGCGGCGGCCGTGGTGGTGGAAGCGGCCGAGGTGATGGCCGCGGGAGGCGGGGGCGACCTATCCGGCGCGAGCGAGTGGGCCAGGGTCAGCTAGGGCGCAGCGGTTGGCCTGGGCTTCTACCGATGCCAACAGCCCAGGTGTTGGCGGCTCGCAAGGGCAAGGTCAAGATGCTGGGCTATGACAACGGGGCCCAGCCGACTGGGCAGGGGCCACCTAGGCCAATGGGCCGGACCGATATTGTAGGCCCATATCACGAGCCCAGAGGGCTGGGATGGCTGAGCATGGATCCAGAGCGGATCGAGGAGGAACTCAGCCTGGTGGGCCAGAACGCACCGTGGGCCGACCCGGCTAGTGCCGATGATTACTTGGGCTCGGATCCGACAGGGGGCCGTGCCGCGCGAGTTGGGCCGGAGCAGGAGGAGCGGTTTGGGCTGGGTGGGGTCGGACTGGGGCGAGGTGGATGGTCGAACCGACGGGGCGACCATGGGCTGACCGACCCGGGCTGGATCGGGGCGGGTCGGGGTGAACCAGTGTGAGTCAAACCGGCCCGATCCAGGAGTGGACCAAACCGGGTCAGGTCGTGGCTGGTTAGATCGGCCAGCATGGACCCGAACATGTGGCAGGGATCGTATGGAGCAGGGAATGTGACGGGTCCGGTTGGGAGAGGTGTCGCGGGCAGTTTTGGGCGGGGAAGAGGCCCACTACTCTACCAGAACCAGCCGGGTGGTGATCCGGGATATGACAGGTATGGTTCATATCACCCTGCCTATGATGGAACTGATGGGATGGTCTTTAGAGCCAAGCCCCCCACCATTGAGTTCCCAAAATTCAATGGTCAGGAGGATGCCGGGTTGTGGTTGTATGCAGCAGAGAGGTGGTTCAGAAATCACCCCATACCGGTGGAGAGGAAGGCGCATCTGGCGTCCTTCTACCTAGAAGGAGAAGCTCTGCAGTGGTGGGAGTGGATGGAGAGGTCCTACGGGGCGAGGGGAACCTTGATCACCTGGCCGCTGTTCCAGGAGGAGCTGCGTTACCAGTTCGGTAAATCGGAGGGGTGGGCCCCGGAACAGTTGGCCAAGCTGAAGCAGACCGACTCAGTTGCGGATTACCGTGCGGAGTTCTTCAAACTGGGCAATCAATGCCATGGTGTCCCAGAAGAGACATTGGTGGGGCTGTGTATGGCAGGCCTGAAGCCGGAGATTGCTGCTGTTGTCCGGGTCTTTGAGCCGGATTCCTTGAAATCTGCTTTTCGTCTTGCAAGGTACAAGGAAGAGGAGCTTGCGAGTTGGAGGAGCACCATAGGCCGCTATCCGCGGGCTAGTGGCGCTGGAAGCAGTAGCGGGGTCGGTAGTGGAGGGGGAGGAGTGGCTGGAACCACTGCTGGAGCTGGGGGATCCACGGCGACGCATGCACCCGGAGCGGCGGCAAAGGGTGGGGCACGACTGCCACCGAAGGGATTTGTGCGACTATCCCCTGCGGAGATCGAGCAGAAGAGGCAGGAAGGGAAGTGCTTTAATTGCGACGAGAGGTTCACGATCGGTCATAAGTGTGCACGCCCGGACTTGATGATGCTGGTCGGAAGGTGGGAGGACGAGGCAGAGAATGAGGCGAAAGAAGGGGGAGAAGCAGGTGAAGGCTATCAACCTTGAGGACAAGGTTGTTTTGAAGAGAGCGGGAATGATAGACGTTTAAATTATTTGGGGTTTATGTCGGTTTGAATTATTTAGTTCGGGTTTATTTTGGTTATTGGGAAATAATTGGGGGATTAATAAGTTGGGGTAGTTAGTAGGTAATTGTGTTTTGGGTATTTAAACTATTGTTTACGTAGGTAAAGGCAAGCAAAGATAAATCCTAAATCCTAATTGCACTCTCTCTCTCTCTCTTCCTCTCTAGGCTGCCGAGCCCTCCTCTCTTCCCCTCCAAGCTACCGATCGGCAGCAGCCTCCTCCCTCCCCTTTTTCTAATTCCAATCCCCCAAATTCACTTTTCTTCCCTTCCCCAAATTCCCGGATCAATCCCTAGTTGATCCCTAATCCCCAATCTCCCGATAGAGCTTAATCCGGAGCTCTATCATGAATCCATCCCGTGAAAAATGGATCGCTAGTTGCTCCTCCTAGTGGTTCCCCTAGACTTGGTGAGTGGATCGATCCTGTGACAAATCGATCGCTAGTGAATTGATGTCGTGACAAATTGATCACTAATTGCTCACCACCCGCGGTTCACAACCACCTATGCCACACGACTCCATTCAATCCAACGATTCACGGTAGCTGGTTAGGGGGAAGCAACTCCTGGGTGAAGCTCCCTTAGTTAGAATTTTCCTTTATTTTCCTTTCTTTGCTAGTTTAGTTTGTAGTTCCATTAGTTATAAACCCAACAGTTGCTTGCTAGATAACAAGCTAAGCAATTGAAGTAGGGGAACATGAATCGGTCCAGGTTAACAATTTAAATACTTGCCCTATACTGCACCCGACTAGAGTTTAAAAACTTGAACTCTAGTCGGGATTAATTTGTGGTGTAGTTTCGTGCGAGTCAAAATCCTATACTTTTAGGTTTTAGAAATTCCTTATGGTCGAAATCCATATCTTTTGAATTTATTCCAAACACGAAATTATGAAGGAAAAAAAAGGAATATGAGAGATTGTGGCAAAATCCTGCAACACAATCCCCCATCTGAACGATTCCACTTAGTTACAATGAATGTGTGAATCATATCAATCCTATCCCCGTTTTAATTGCCATAAGATGATTAATAAAATAATTGAATCGAAACAAAAATAGTTCAGGTTTTTACCATGGTCCATGAAACCGTACCGTACCGGTGGTTCAACCACGACATACCAGTATCGGAAGCTAAACCAGTAGGCGGTATTTAACGGTACAACGGTTGAACTACGTTAAAACCACGGTTTTACCATAAAATACCCTATAGCTGACTTTTCCGGTACGGTCTCCGGTACGATTTCATGGACCATGGTTTTTACATGTAATTTAACGGGCCTGTGGGTAGAAAATTCAGTGTTTATAGTTTACTACGAATACGAAATGGTAGATTATTTCGAATTTTAAACCTTGCGTTGCTGAACTCGATAATGTTTATAGGTGTGGCTGGGATGATATTTGAGTGAGTGGAAAAGTGAACTAATCATACAACTCTCAGATTACGCCTATCGTAATCAAATCATTAAACTAATTCAAGCATGAATTCATTTTGTGCATGATTAGAGGTAGGTGGAGAGAGGAGTTCCTGTTTGAGATCCATTGAGCATCCACCCCCATGCAAAAAGCACCTGCCTAACAAGATCTAAGCAATAAAATCATCGTGAAAGAGTCTAAATCAAACACTACTCTTTCGTTCTTTTGATAAACTATACTCTTAATAAAACTCAGTATAACAAATGTGATGGATCGGACCAAACATCCTACTCATACAATCATACTATAATTACATAGATTAACGCGAATACGCGATAGTTGCAAGTGTGCGACAAACCGCAACAACATCACACCAGATCCATATAATAACAAATGCTCAATCGAACTTTTCAATCCGACGATAACAAATAAGACGAGTTATTAGTGGATACTCATACCACAAGAGATAGACCACGAAAAATAGCAACAATCTGTACTCGAAAAAAGAACACACACAGGAGTCTCATGAGTAATCACCATTCATTCCCCAATCAAACAACCAGCAAGTTTCGAACAATTATTTATTTGGAGAAAAAAATAACACGAGCCATATGTTACAAAACACTAAATTGTGCATCCCATCATGTACGTGTATAATAACAACGTCACACCACTGCCAGTGGCAGAGCAAGAAGAATCCCAAGCCCGCTTAATACGATCCTGGCTCTGCCCCCATGGATCGACGACCCCAAACCCGGTATGTCGACTGGAGATGGACCCATCGCCGCGTCCGGTGCCCCGGGATTCATCGCCGGTGGAGAGCTAGTGGACGGGAAAACCATAGGCGCATCCGCCGGCGTCGCTGAACTCGCCGGCACCGATGCCTCTGGCGTCGCAACAGGACTATCGACTGTCGGTGGAAAAGTAGCAGGACCCATCGCCGGTGCAATCACTGGAGCCATGGTGGGAGTAGCAGAAATTGGTGTCGGCGGTGACACGGCAGGGGAGGAAACGCTCGGAGAAAGACTAGGGGCGACCGTCGGTGGGCGAGACAGAGCAGGTGGAGCGGAACCCATCGGAGGCATGGCCGTAGAGGGTTCCGGCGGAGTGGCCGACGGAGGAGGAGATGCAGGGGAGGCGGCGGTGGGAGGAGGAAGGGATCTCGATTTGGAAGGGGGAGAAGCATGGGCTGGAGGAGGAAGTAATGGTGGTGGAGATGTTGTAGGGGAAACCGCCGTAATAGGAGGAAGGGATGCCGGGGGAGGAAGTAAAGCAGGGGAGACCGCCGTCGGTGGAGGAGGAGCAGCGGTGGGACTGATCGGAGGTGGAGGAGGAAGTACCGGTGGGGACATTGTAGGGGAAACTGACGTCATAGGAGGAAGTGATCTCGGTATCGAAGGGGGAGGAGGAAATGATGCAGGGGAAACCGCCGTCGGTGGAGGAGGAACTGATTTTGATTTCGACGGAGGAGGAGCAGCGGTGGGACTGATTGGGGCAGGAGGAGGAATTAATGGCGGGGACATTGTAGGGGAAACTGACGTCATCGGAGGAAGCGACCTTGGCATCGAAGGGGGAGGAGGAGGAAATGAGACAGGGGATTTTGCAGTGGGTGTAGGAGGAGGACGAAGGGGCTTTGTTTTTGACGGAGGAGGAGCGACGGTGGGACTGATCGGAGGAGACGGTATGGTGGGTGGAGGGGATAAGACCGGCGGCGATTTGACAGGGGAGACTGTGGGAACAGAGAAGGCAGGGGAATCGGGAGCGGGAGTAGTGAAGGGAGGAGATTGGGCAGGGGAAAGGGGAGTTGCAGGGGAGGAATGAGGAGATCCGTAAGGGGATGAAGTACTCACTGGAGTTCTAGAGTGATAGGGAGACGACGTCGGAGGCAGAGCCGGAGAAGGAGAAGACGGCTGGCGACGGTGGCGAGGACGGAACGGCGCCGTTGTCGGGGACATGGCGGGCGCATTGTCTGCCCTTGCACTGGAAGCAGTGGCCAGAGCAAATAGCAGAGCGAGTACGACGATGAATTGGGTCTTCATCGTCGTTCGTGCAGTGTTTGTTTGACCCAAATGATGGGATGATGATGATGAAGAAGAAGAAGAAGAAGAAGAAGAAGAAGGTGCAACTGCCGAAATTTGTTGGTGTTTGAAATAAATGGAAGGGAAAGATTGGTAATGGAGGGAGATTTATGGGAAGGGACTAGGGAGCGTGTCGGTGGGCGGGTCGGGTACGGGTTAGTGTGGGTGGGTCGAGGAGACCCGGCGAGAGGGAAAATGTGACCGTTGGATTGGGTGGGGGCTGTGATACGGTGCCAGGTGGGTGGAGGTGGTGGGGTGTTGGTAATTATGCGGCAATAGTGACCAGTGGGTGGAGTTGCAGCAGTAGCCGTTTGTTCTTTACTGCAAATTAGATGAATGGTGATCAACGAACCAGGTGGCTCTCCTGTTGGATTATCTTATCGACGAGGGTTTGCTGCATTTTCCCCTTGTTTTCGTCCTCGTAAATATCTTCTGTTGGTCGGCATCCTTTGATGATTTACTTGCTTGCTACACGCTGCCTGTAAATGGAGGATCCTGGCAGTTCAACCCGGACCCACGGGTACCCGACCCGACCCAACCCGATCAAATTGGGTAAATCCCGTCTTGATCGGGTTCGGGTTTAAACCCGGTGGCGGGTTGGGGCGGGTTCGGGTTTGGGGGAACCCGACCCGTGGATACCCTGACATACACCCTAAAATCCAAATTACGCGTCCCCCACTCCCCTGCCCACTTCCCTTTCCACCCTAATCGGCAATCGCAAATCACAATCCCCAATCGGCAATCGCGACTCCTCTCTTCCTCTCTGCGACTCCTCTTCCTCTCCGGCGAGACCGGCACCGCGACTCCTCTTCTCCATCTCCAGTCCCGACTCCCAATTCGACGGCCGCCCTCCCCCTGCTCTTACTTTGCTCCGGCTCCGCCTCTCCGACACATTACCGGCCGCGCCCTCTGCGGCTCTCCCTGCTCCTCTGCCCCGCCACCCTCTCCGGCTCTGCTCCTCAACAACTCCTTCACGTCGTCGACTCCGCCGCCAGACACTGAGACACGCCACCAGGTACAGACTACAGAGTCGCCCTCATGCGGGAAGGGTTCCCCGCTGGTGCCACTCAACTCTTCTTCAGGTCGTCCAATCCACCGGCGTCACTCACCTCTTCTTCAACCACTTATATGATTCCTTCCTCTTGCCCCACCTTTCCTTTCAATTCTTGGGTTTCCAATTCGATGCTCTTTAATAATTCATCTTTTCTGGCCTTCCGTTTTGTTTTCCAATATTTGTTATTGATTGGGTTCGTCGCGGGATTTCTGGCTGTCTGTTAAATGGAAGGATGACTGTCTGTTAAATATGAGGTGGTTAGGCTTGGGAGGGAGGTTGTTCTGGCGATGGTGGAAGGTAAACGGAGAGGGCGATGGCCCTGGAAGGAGATGGTGGAAGGGGAGAGGCTCTGGTTTGACTCACCATTGTTGTTTTGGATGTGCTATTAGATATGAGATGGTTAGGCTTGGGAGGGAGGTTGTTCTGGCGATGGTGCAAGGTAAACGGAGAGGGCGGAGGCCCTGGAAGGAGATGGTGGAAGGGGAGAGGCTCTGGTTTGACTCACCATTGTTGTTTTGGATGTGCTATTAGATATGAGATTTGGTATTTTGGATGTGTTGCATATTTTTTTCTATGATGTTGGGAAGTTGAAACTGTCACTCAATTCACTATGATTTTGCTTTGTGTAGGTGCTTGATATGGCTTCAAATGCCTCCGAAGCCGGAACTCCAATTGTTAGTGGAGGTGATGAGACTATTAGAACTACTTCTACACCTACTGCGGGATCTCAGTCCCAACTTCCTAATCCCACTAGTGAGAGTGGTAATGGTGCTGCTGCAGCTGCAGCACCTACTGGTGTAATGGATAGTGGACAACCAACAAGATCTTATGAGGTTAATGTTCTTGATACAAGTAGGCTTAAAAGTGATGTTTGGCCACATTTCAACAGAATTTTGAAGAATGGGGTTCTTAGAGCTGAATGCATACGATGTAAGAAGCTCTTATCTGCTTCTACTAATAACGGGACCAGTCATTTGCGCCAGCATATTCTACATACATGTCCGAGGAAAAAATGCAAAGATCTTAAACAAATGCTTTTGACAAAGAATTTGAAAGGAGATGTTAGCAAAGCAAGTGGCAACAGATTTGATGAGGAAGAAGGGAGGCGTGCTTTAGCTTCCATGATTATATTACATGGGTACCCTCTCTCTATTGTTGAGCATATTGGTTTTAGAAAATTTCTCTTCATCATTCAACCTTTATTCAAGTGCCATTGTCGAAATACATTGAAGAGTGACATTGCAAGGAAGGTTTGTGACAAGTTGGAGTTGTTTTATGATGTGACTGAGCTGTTTTCAGGGGCTAAATACCCAACTGCGAATTTGTTCTTTGAAAAGGTGTGCGAAATAAAGGTGGGCATCTCTAATTGGATGTTGGATGATGATGCTTTCATTAGAGATATGGCCAAAAGCATGATGACAAAATTTGAGAAGTATTGGAGTACTATTCATGATGTTTTAGCTATTGTTGTTGTATTTGATCCAAGGTATAAGTTTACCTTGTTGGAGTGTTATTTTCCAGATATCTATGGCGTTGAATCAAGGGCATGTATTGAGAGTGTTCGACAATTGTTGGTTGAATTGGAGAAGGATTATAAGAAGTTAAATGTGGATGGGAGTCAAGAAGGAAATCCGTCTCATGATGAGAGTTCGATTAGTCAAGGTGGAGGAAGAATGACAGCATATGATAGGTATGTAGCATCGTTGACTACTAGCAGTGTAGATGTTGAAACTGAGTTGGATGGCTACCTCAAGGAGAAAGTCTTGCCCAAGACAGCTGGATTTGACATTTTATTGTGGTTGAAGGCAAATGAGTCAAAGTATCCGACTTTAGCATTGATTGCTAGAGACATACTTGCAATTCCAGTGACTACTGTGGCTTCTGAGTCTGCTTTTAGTGCCGGTGGAAGACTAGTTAGCCCTAGTCGCAGTAGACTTCTCCCAGAAACTGTTGAGGTTCTAATGTGTGCTCAAAACTGGTTGCTCAATTCAACCATTCCACGCAGCTTGATAACCTTTGATTGTTTGATTTTACATATGAACTTTAATACATGTTTTGAGTTATGATATTGTTGGTTACCATTATTTGCTAACTTGCTATCCTATTTGCAGATGGCTTGGAAACAATTGATAAACTCATGACTTATGCCACTGTTAATGATGACCTAGATCCAGATTGTGCTTCATGTGTTACCGGTATATTTAATATTATAATTATCTTCTTTAAAACATCCATCTTTCTTATGTTTGTGGAGACATTTTTAATTTTGGTCTATCTAATTCTGTAGAATGAAGTCGAAGTTATGGAGCTGAGAGTGAAGCTAAAATGACAATGTTCAAGTTCTCAAGGAGGAGGAAACTTTAATTAATCATGTTGTGTATTGATAATTTGTGACTTTGAATTTTCTAGATTGGAGTTGAACAATTTGTATGGATAGTGTGTGATTTGCTTGAATTTTCTAGAACGATGTTTTATGTATGGATAGTTTGTATGGTGAGATTTATGCTTAATTTTTATTTTAATAGTTTCTTGTTAATTATTATTTTATAAATATTTTACCAAAAAAACCCGCGGGTAACCCATCAACCCGCGGATACCCAGCGGGTTGGGTTGGGTTTGAGTTTTTCAAACCCGCCGGGTTTTACCCAGGGTTTTTTTGACGGACAAACCCATGGGTTTGGGTTCGGGTTTGGCAAAACCCGCCCCAACCCGACCTATTGTCATCCCTAGATCCAATCCGATCCTTTGGCTGGTCATTGGTAATGTGTTATGGTGGATCATCCTTACGAGCGGCAAAATACTGATAAATGAAAAAAAAATCAATTAGGTGTTCAATTTTATATTAGCGATGTGCAACAATCTGATCCAACTCATAAGAATCGGGATCCACTACTTAAAAGACATTTTAGAACTAAGGATCGGGCCATCATTACGATCAGTCCGGTTAGCTCCGTTGCACAAGACAAGGGATGCCGAGGGATTGTATTGTTTCGCAATCAAACACCGTTCGTATTCGTCCATTAGGCAAACGTTGTTGTGCCGTTTGAAAAGAAGAAAAACTCCCACTGAACCGTTGCGTTGCATTATTTTGATGATAATAGCAGTGGAACCAAAGCCAAGCAACAACATTTCATGGAAATAAAAATCGACCTAGTTGCTTTATTTCGACAGGTACGGCTCCCTTCTATCTTGTGGATAGAAGTTGAAATTTGATATGTTACTTTTGTCATGATATAAATTGTTTCAATTTAATGACTCGCTATGACACAACTCCTAACAATGGCCAAGTGTAACTAATGAAAGGGACTGCAGTATAGTGGCTCAAGTAATAAATATCGAATCCACAGGTCTCTAGAGTTACTATTACTCAGCTTCAGTTCATTATCTAGCAAACCAGATTAAGATGGAAGAACTAAAACTACTCTAACAAACTACAGTTAAAGTTCATCTAATTATAGGTTGGGAACTCACTTAGGTATGATTCCCCCTAGCCACTAGCCAGATTAATGATTGATGATCTCTAACTTATTTCACTTTCATTCACAATGCGGAGAATCCTTGACTAAACCTTGAATCTCGACTAAAGGATCAAGGCCCTCTTAAGTCAATTGCCTAGAGGGACGTATCCTTCTCTAGAACAACCAATCAAGGCGTTCTGAACTAGATTCCCTCTATCGAACGAGGTTCTCAATCGATACAAAGCATTGAATCAACCCTCGACTAAAGCAATTGATCCAATACTATCAATCTATGGTGCTCTATTGACCTAATCAGGTATTCGCTCTCATAGGATCAAAGCTGAATCAATAATCTCGACTAAAGCAGAATTGAATCATGAAAACATGCATAGATCGAATATGAACTCAAGATTATCAAGTAAGAGTACTCATACAATCATCCAATCAAACAAACATAGCTAGGGTTCCTCAAAACCTAAGTGAAGGGAAGTTACTCCAAAGAGAAGAGAGAGAGTGCAGTAAGAATCTTCAGATGATCAGTCTTCAAGTCCGGGCTTGTTCCTCGAGCTTCCAAGGCGA